ATTTGGTAATGAGAGGTAAAATTTATTTTCGATCAAAATGATGGCATATTCTACTTTTCAGTTATAGTTACGCCGATGTCATATGATGTGAAGGCCGTAACTGAATGCAAAAGCTACGTGAAATATCAAAATTGACAAGTTTTTTGTTATACGTAACCAAGAAATACAGATACAAACTATAGAAAAATCGGCTCATGTTAAAAATTGTCTCTTCCGACAATTTTTAAATTCTAACCAAACTCCAAGATTTTCTCAATCCTAAAATATTTCTCTTCCGAATATGTATTCTGTAATTCAATTTCAATCTTTTCAGTGTTTTCCCTACATAAAATACACTTAAATAATAACTGTTCTTTTATTTGTCACAATGATTACAACATTGCCCAAGAATCAGATCTAAAATTCCATTGGATAGTCACAAACAACAAGAATTCACTCTCTGAACTCTTATTTCTTATCATTTGTGCTTTATTGGTTTGATTCATGTTGAATCTTCAGTTCACCCTACTTTAACACCTCTCCTAAATTTCAATCCACCATAACCTTACCTTTGCACAGCTCAAGTTGATAATTTTCAGATTAATACTTCAGGAGATTCGACAATATCTACACATGCACGTTATTTACTCTCTTCAGTTCATACTACTTCAACACCTATGTCTTAAATTACAATTCGTCTTAACCTTACCTTGACCAACTCAAGTTGATAATTTTCAGGTTAATACTTCACGAGATTTTACAGAATTATTTATCAAATGCACGTTATTTAATCTTCTCACTTCACACTACTTCAACACCTGTCTTGAATGGATTACTGTTGTAATCAATTATGTTTAATTGAAAAGTTGTTGATCAAGTAAACTTTTGGAAATACGACCATTCAAAAGTGGAATGTGCAAGAAAATGATTTATTATAGAATTCAATCCATGGTACTTCATTCCCTTGCAAGTTGATGTAGATTTAAATATTTCATTTTTTTTGAAAAACTTTTCACTCTCACTACTGAAATGAACAAGAAATACTTGGTACTTCTCCCATTCAATGAATCCGGTAAAATTTCCTTCAGCTCCAATTCATTCGAGTAGATAAGAATAATCATTTCTGCATCATCTTTCCTGAATAAGTTTTCACAGAAAACTATTCCTATATTTTAATATAGGAATAGTTTTAATGCTCCATCTTATAAGATGGAGCATTAGTCTATGTTACGAAACTCAGAGCTTATGGTCCTCACCTGATGCTCTTGATAACCCTAGTCACTTTGCCACAGTTCTTTTCGAATTCAAACCTATCTTCATGAAATCTGATTTATTAGGTGTGGAAAAAAGTTAAACTATCATCATGACTCCTACTATGTCACTACCAAATCAACGAATGTCACTGAAGCTTTATGAGTTTTGAAATACTCAAACAATTTTACCGATCCTAATAATAATGATGATAATAGTATGTCGATCATACATTCCGTTATTTCAAATTTCCATCTTTAGGCATCTTTGATTATTAGAACATTAGAATTAAGTACCCGGTTGTTGATTTTCTGGTATCCAAATCACCGGCAAAGTCAGCATCTGAGTAAGCAATCAAAGTTTCTTCTTTTCCAGTGTATAGTTGTCCTACATTTTCAGTACCTTTAAGATATTTGAAAATACGCTTGACAGCTTTCCAGTGATTTCTTTTTGGATTAGACAGGAATCGACTCACTTGACTGACAGCAAACATTCTGTCAGGACGTGACACAACTACCAAAAACATTAAACAGCCAACAGCCTCCGATATGGTGCACTGCAATCTTTTTCATTGTTTATATCTTTCGAATAAAGTGGTGCATTGGGATCAGCATTGGGATTATAGTTTTGCATGTTAAATTTCTTCAGAATTCTGCTTATATAACCCTTCTGACTCAAATAAATTTTCCGTTCATCCCGGTTTCTTTTGATTTCAATTCCCACGTAGTATTCTAAATCTGACGTTGTCAACTTAAATTTGGCTGCCAGTTTTTCAATAAAAATATCTATTAACTGAACTGATTCACACAGAACTAGTCCATCATCAACGTACAATGCCAAAAATATATCTACATTTTCCATTTTCCCATAAAAAACGTATTACGTTTTCCGCTTCCAATTGTTTGAACGAAAATTCAGCAAGGACTTTTGTGAATTCATGTTCCAGCATCGTGGCGACTGCTTCAACCCATAAATACTTTTCTTCAGTTTGCAGACCAAGGAACGATCTTCACTTTCAAAACCTTCAGGTTGTTTCATGAATATATTTTCTGATAAAGTTCCATTCAAAAACGCAGTTTTGATGTCAAACTGACGAATTTCCAAACTTCTGACAGCTGCTAACGTCAAAAGTATTCTAATAGATTCAAACCTGATTACTGGAGGAAATTTCAGTCAATATTTGTGTCTCCCTAGTTTATCAATACCAATGTGTAAAACTTTAATATTTATTATCTTCACAAACAAGTATGAACTTCCGTGATCTGTCTGTATGTGGTTGTTTGTTTCTAAATTTTTTTTAACCTTTGATTTTGTTTATCAATGCGGGAATGTATGACATTGTTATTCTATCATATTATTTTTTTTACCTATTACAACAAATTGGTTTACGTGAGTAATTGTGATTGTGTTATATGTAACATTATTTCATTTTTTTTATTTGTTAATTCAACCACACACAGCGGGTTTAACCAAACCCTCAGTGGATTTGCAATTTATTCATCATTATCTTCAAAATGTTAATTCTATTTTGTGTGCAACATGGATGAATAAATATTATTATTAGTATTAAAAATGATGCAATTTTTCATATAGCATACATTCATACAACAAAAGGAGTCTCCGCTGCCACGATATGTTCTCATCCCTCAACGGCGAAACCGTAAGTCTGCTAATCAATTTACCAGTTTCATTGTAATAAACTGGATGTTATTGAAAGTTCAATTCTCATATTCAGTTATATGTGGCATAATTCATTCGTTCTCGTGAATTACTCATGAAAGTTACTCAGGAGATAACGTTATTTTCTCTCTTCGAGTAGAATATTTTTTCCAATCTCCACATTGAGCCCTTTTAACGAAGCGTGCATGAGTGCATAATAGGTTGAAGCTGTTTATCTTCTTTCAATCAATCATTCTACGCGGAATGGAGTCACTGGTATCATTATATAGGACAATATAACTCCTACTATCAGAATTACCATTTGCAATTACAGTTGTATGGAAAACGGTTTGCGGCCGATGCATCCTGTTATCTGAAGTGACCTCAATCCAACGAAATTGCTTTGGGACATCTGAGACAGGCCATTATTTGACCCAAAATGAATGTTATTACTGCTTCTGTGAGTTCATATCATTTGATGGGAGGACAAACATGTTATTAATATACAAAAAATGTTAAAGTTGAGTTCATGAGTTGTTGTTTTGTGAAAATTATATTCAGTAGAAATGACTTATGGACAATGGAAATGCGATTTTCAAAAGCACATGTTTTGATAACTATGGAACGCCGAAGTCAGAGAAAATTTTAATGGATTTAACCACATTAACTCCAAACCTATTTATAGAAATTCGAAAATTCTGTATCGACTTGCCTCGCCTTTGTTATAATTCAAGTTTTATAGAAAAAATTCCGAATGGCATATTGCCGCTCTATTTTATTATTTTATTATGGTTTCAGAATACTATCTGTTTTCTCTTTTTTCGATACTTGTGCAACTATATAGAAAATCACAGGAATTTAGCGACACGCAATTGATAATCAACAAATTGTTTTGACAAATTCTATAAATATTCCTGCATGTTATCATTATTCTTTTTTTAACCTCAGTTTGCGCTGGTCGGGCCCTATCCCCCGAAGCCCCGATACATTCGGGAGGGCGTGCCAGCATTATCAATCAATGACCACTTCCCACACCGTGGGGTCCGAGTCCATTGGATCCGCAGTGAGCCGCAGTGCATATGTCCTGCTAAGATTTCTGCCTTAGTGCCGCACTAAGGCAGAAATCCGGTATAATTCTAAGATTCGAGAGTAGAAAGGGTATCATTCCACCAAGGACTCCAACAACTATCTTGACACGGTGATCTGAATAGAGTCTGCGGAGTTCGAAGAGGAAATATCAATATTTTATCCGTTTTCCCTCCTCTTTTCGGACTATATTCGTCTCGCCAGAAGCTTAAAACTCCACGACAAATATCGTCTTGCTCTGGTGGTCGAGAACTACTACATCAGGCGTAATAACTTGTATGAAACTGAGGGTAGATATCTACAAAATCACGTTGCCAAGGATATCAAGGTCAAACACGAAGTTGCTTTGAGTCGTGTGGATTCAAGGTCGAAGAGGATGGAAAACGGAAGTTATTATTGAAGTCACCTTACCAAGGGTGTTCGAAGGCATCCAAAGTCACCTCGGGTAGCGTGATGTCAATATCATTTCAAAAATATAATCAAAAGGCATCCTCAAAGTCAGAGTGGAGGCGGTCAAGGTGGTTCAAACTCAAACCCTACGAAAGTAATTTTGTCCAGAGACATATTCGCAGAATGATTAAGTTCGCTCAAAACTAACTTTTGCTACTGCACGGTAGTAGCAGATTACAGCCGGTTCTGGGCCTACCACCAACACTATGACGTATTAATTGCTTTTATGTGTTTAGTAACATCAAGACGATGTGACCTTGAAGTGTCTGGTTCAGATTTTTTTTTCATATGAGATTTTGTGTGTGTGTCACAAAATGACGTAATTAACTTTGATTGGTGTGTGTGTGTGTGTGTGTGTGTGTGAGAATGCACGGTACAGGATTTCATCATGTTCTTGTCTATGTACAAACATACGTCTGCATACTTCGTAGACCCTTCAAGTAATGGGTGTGAGCCCACCAAGTTAGTAGTGGTGTGACGTCACAGCAGCAACCGTTCAACGGTAAGAGGCATTACGCATTACTCAGCCAAATGTCGTGTGGCGTCGTAATGCATAATCATCAGTATGCCCTCACCTCTCTCGATGCGATGAAGGCTGCGACGTAACGCATCGCTCTAGCCTCGCTATCGATGGTGACACGCAGGCGGCCGAGGACTGTCTGCCTAACGTCTGCCCTCTACGAGAGCGCAACGACCCCTGCCTGTTCGTATCGACATCTGCTATCGCATCCGGGAGGTGGGCTTGACTGACGTCAGGCATCTCTAGTGGGTAGCAACTAGCAATGTGAACTTTTCAAGGTTTCGTGGTGGGGATGACTCGCACTCTTTAATAAGAAAGAAATGCTTGGCACACTATGAAATCAGTAGACGAATATATCTGCAACAGTTAGCAATTGGTAGAGTGTTATTCAGTTCGTAATAGGAGGAATGATTGAACAGAACCTGAGAAGATTTTTGTATAGCCTCCAACTATACTTGCCAGAATGGATTATTTATAACTTTGAATTGAATGATGAAAATCGAGAGGGAATGGTCGCGAAAATGATGACTATGAGGAAGGAGTTATTTTAGATAGACCGTATGTTTCTGTGAATCATAAATAATGTCAAATAAAAAACTATTATTTTCATGTTTTATCCATTTAAATCCCATTATATACAATAGAGAATTATTACGAATAAATATGATATATATGAATTAGGAAAAAATACAATGAATGACAGTTACAAATAAAAAAAAGATCATAAAATAGTACATGATAGAAGTTTGTATCCAAGATAACTTGTTTCAATTGTGGAAGTCCAAATGATATCATGGTTTTCATTGTAGATGTTATCCCAGGTTTTCTAACAACAGCCACTTGTTCACCACCCATTTCGTAACGAATTTCATCAAAGAGAAATGCAATTGCATTATTCGCTTCGTCTTTGGGGGTGATTAACTTCTATGTAGATGAAGCTCTCGGCAATATCTACTATATAGCATCTTGATTATTGATTGCAATTCTAATTTCATCCGAATTCCTGAATAGCGGTGATCCATAGGGCTTATGTAAACTTATGAGAGAATGATCAAGCACTGGTTCATCGAAAAATTCAACTTCTCACTTTCTGTTTCGAGCACCATTGTTATTTTCTCAGTTTCTCGATTTCAAAAATTCAAGTTCACTCACAGAGAGAGCTAACTGTTTAGTTTACACTTGTGGAATGAGCTTCTTTTTATGCACACTTTTCTTTTTGATGGTGCAGCTCGTTTGGGATTGTTCAATACGATGTTGTCTATTATGAATGGAACCCATAACAATTTTCAATTCCAAAATAATGAAAACCTCTTGTTCAATTCGAACATCGATAAAGTTATTTTTTCATCCAAAATACGCACTGTAATGTAGTGAATCAATTGACGACCTTCTGGACTGACAGGCATATATATAATACTGTGTGTTTCTTTAGTAAGATTGTATCCAGGTTCAACATCAATATCGAATGAGAAAAGAATGTGGGATTCTCCAACATTTATATGAACTAGATATTATATTGCAATCTAAGCGGATAAGTCTCACAATTGTAATGTTTAATGATAATGAGGATTCATGTATCTGATTTGGTGGAAATATGCCATGAGCGAACCCCATCATTTCTGCTATAGAATTTGGATGTGTCAGATCAATTTCATATTTGGATCGCGTTTCACATTTGAATATATTATTATTGGCGTGTAGATATAAAATATCATCTGCAACGATATCAATTTGTTTTTTATCATGGAACAATCTGAGCATGATATGTTTCTGTATGACGGCATTGATCTCTTCTATTTCGTAAGCACCATATGGAATTTCAATTGTGATCTTTTGGAGTATCGATTAGTTGTCATTACTGATTCTGGAACGCATTAAATTATTAGCTTCAGTAATATTATTGATTGTACTGCATTCATAGAATCTCAAAAGTCCTAATCCATAACGGCTGTTTCTATCCAATTCAACTGGTGGAAAAAAATCCGCACTCAAGACACTTGTCCCGACAGCTTGTTGCTCGAACTTTCGTGACATAACTGATGAATATTTAGAAACACATTTAAATTCATTGTTGTGTACAGCAACATCACATTTGAGACAATTTACACTTTTTCGAAGGTGTTGCATTGTAATAAATATCATTTTTATTGATTACGATATTCGTATCCTCTATATTACAAATACAACACATAGATTTTTGAGGTATAGGACCATCATTAACATCCGAATCTGAATTTTGATCAAGGTGGTGTTCATAACAAAATCTATGTTTCATTATATCAATGTCATCTTGTAGATGTTCAGGTAACTTTTCCCTAACATATGCAATCTCATCAGCAACACCTGCAAGTATCACTTCCTTGGGCATATTTGCAAGCATCAGTTCATCCATTTTTTTCATTCTTTTCATTTCATTTTGTATTAAATTTCTGTTGACGATCATAGTTATATTTGATTTTTACATTCGAACATTTTCGAAAGAATCGAGTCAATTCCAAAGGTGGGGGTAGATCTCCAAAACTATCGAAAAATTCGACTTCTTTCCCACATTTTTTATACGCCACCCAATGTGTTCCTGGTCCACTTATTCCATCTAAATTAACAATAACTGTATCGTTTTGTCTTGGACCTGAAGAGGGTGAACTGTTACGCATAAAAAAACCACGGAAATGTGGAATTTTCATTTTTTCAGATCATGTATCACCCGATGTAACATTCAAACAATTCCAATTGATGTTTGTTAAATGCTGGGAGGACCAATATGGATTTCTAGTCATTGATAAGGACAGAAAAATAGATGAAGGTAGATATCGCAAAGGATTGGATAGTTTTATATATTCATTATCTTGTTATTCAAATTTATTCGATCACTGAATATCGTAGAGGTCACTTCATCGGCGAATTGAGCTTTAATTCAAAAAGGGCATTATGAATTCGAAAAATGATTCTGAGAATGAAAACAATGAAATGAATTTGAAACGTCAACTAGTAGAGACAACAGAAGCTGTCAGGCAGAAATTCAACTCCATCAAGAATGTTAATATTGAAAATCGTACGTTCAATCTACTTCAAATTATCCCATGAGTACTCCAATAGGAAGAAAACTTTGGTAGTGTATCATCTGTGGATAGTGACACGAGCACCCTTCAAGACGATATGAGAACAACTCATCGAAACACCATCATCGTCCCATATCGATTCCTCGGATCATGACTCCTCACCTAATATGATAGAAAGTCGTGAAGATGTTTTGGCGAAACATTTGAATAATGTAAAATCTAGAAATCCAGCATATATATTAATTTTAGACAACTCAATTCGTACTTTTATCATGTCAAAAATTAATCTCTTAACTACATATAAACATATACAATGTTGACGAAAACAAATTAACAAATTATGAAAATGGTGGTTTTTCAACAGTTTTCACTGATAAAATCCTGGTGTACCTTATAGTTACCAAATAAAAGTATTACAAGAATACTTTGGACATTTCGTTTCTATTGAAGGGCCGTGGATTTCAGTTTAGATTGAATCAAAAATTGAACTTTTCGATTTCAAAAGGAGTCCAATAAAAATTCTCAATGATAATGATGTTGCAGGCAAGATCTTCACTGATAGAAAATATGATTTCAAATGCGGTTTGGTTGTTATAAAGACACTTTTCGGTTGGACCATTATGTAAAAAGTACCTATTTTGATCAAATTAAAAAGGGTTATTTTTGGAAATACCCAATAAACTGTGGAAGAATGAGTAGAATGAACCAAACCAAAACTGTTTGTTGATTCAACTAACTTACATCAACAACTATCACCTAGCTACTAAACAAATTGTATATCAACGCAGTTGACAAAGCTTATAAAATATAATACTCCCACTCTTTGATAACTGTGTTTTATACGATAAAAAGGGCTTCTCTGTTCTTCACAAATTTCTCTTTTGGAAGGGACTTTGTGAGAATATCGGCTGATCTTCCGAAAGGACGTGGCAGACAGTAAGAGAACCATTTTCTACACATTCACGTATGTAGTGATACTTTACATCGATATGCTTAGTTCGTTTATGTATTGCACTCTGATTATCTACAGAAACCTTGGTAGGAACTTCAGTTAAAAAGCCAAGTTCATGTAAAAATATTCGAAGCCACATCACTTCTTGAGATGTTTCCGAGGCGGCAATGTATTCGGATTCTGAAGTCGACCGTGAAACACATTTTTGAATATGAGAAGACCATGTCACGGGAGCTCCAGCTATACTTGTTAAGTACCCGGTTGTTGATTTTCTGGTATCCAAATCACCGGCAAAGTCAGCATCTGAGTAAGCAATCAAAGTTTCTTCTTTTCCAGTGTAGATTTTCCAGTCCTACATTTTCAGTACCTTTAAGATATTTGAAAGTACGCTTGACAGCATTCCAGTGATTTCTTTTTGGATTAGACAGGAATCGACTCACTTGACTGACAGCAAACCTTCTGTCTGGACGTGACACAACTGCCAAAAACATTAAACAGCCAGCAGCCTCTCGATATGGTGACTGCAATCTTTTTCATTGTTTATATCTTTCGAATAAAGTGGTGCATTGGGATCAGCAGGGATTGCATTGATATTACAGTTTTGCATGTTAAATTTTTTCAGAATTCTGCTTATATAACCCTTCTGACTCAAATAAATTTTCCGTTCATCCCGGTTTTTTTGATTTCAATTCCTACGTAGTATTCTGAATCTGACGTTGTCAACTTAAATTTGGCTGCCAGTTTTTCAATAAAAATATCTATTAACTGAACTGATTCACACAGAACTAGTCCATCATCAACGTAACGAGTGAAAATGGAGGAAACATATAATTCTAAACCTGTGAAATATGTGTACTGGAATTCACCGAAAGAGTTGGTTGCTCGCCTACGAATATTGGTGACTTCAAAGTCAGCTGGACATACTGGACATGACAATGAAATAATTTCAATAATTAAAAAATTACGTGAAGAAGGTATAATATATCAATATATCCACAAGTAATGATCACTGACACATCATCAATCAATGCAGTAACATTATCACCTTTTCTCATTATTCATATTGAAATAGAAAGAGAA